TAGAAATTCCAGCCTTCCATAAAATTAGGCACATCGTTGACAGATCTATCGTATAATAGTATGTCATCACGATACTGTATAGACTGAATGTTGAAATTTCCGGCAGCGCATGAACGCAGCGCCGATGTGCCTCCATTTTGTGTCGGTCTGCCCGTTTCCGGGTTTCCGAGAAGGGACCGATAAAACGGTGTCAGCGGGGAGTATGGCTCTGCTCGCAGGTCAGGAGTGCGGGTAAAGTTTTCCGTAGCGACCAGAAACAGCTAAAAAAGTGTCTCTCGGACGCGTTCAGCAGCTCGATTCATGCGCTACGTTATCTCCAAGAGCCGCGGCCGACAGAGTTTGCAGCCAGTTGGACTGCGCTGACACTGACAGCAGGAAAGTAAACAGCCCGATGCTAACCAGCTAACCGCGGCTAGCTCCACTGTAACCGCCGCTAGCCGAGCTGGTAAACCGTCGACAGCCAGCTAACGTTAGCCGGCTAACCTGCGAGTATCTTTGGTGGCGTTAAGTTACATCACCGCGACTTGCCAGCACCCTCCCATCCTAATTTTTTGTCAAACTGCTCCGACGAAGGATTGCCACAACGACACTTTCCATTCATGTTGTTTGGAAGTACGACGCTGCCAAACCTCCTGTTGTTCGAGCCAGGGTGAGTAAATTCCGAGGATGTGGAAGCTAACTTAACTCCACCTAAGTTTAAGCTAGCTGCTGCCAGGTATGTTTGTTTCTCTACCTGGGAGCGGCTATACAACCTGCCCAGGCCTGATCAGTCCTGTTTTTCTGAGTTTTATGACACTATTTTTTTATGTTTCTGCCAGCTAGAAACTCTTAAATTTGTCCAACAACATGTATAATTTATGCATCTGTACACGAACTCTTCAGATTATTTACTTAAGCCGAAGTGCCAATACATACACGTATAGTACTTTAGGCACAATTGCTGCGGTCGTTCTTTAAGTTGGGTAAAAGTAAGTAAATAAGTAAGCTATATCAAGAAAATGCATTTAAACCGTCAATGCTGTATGTACTTAATGCCGAGGAATGGTCCTTGGAAGTGCTGTACGTCCAAAATCCCAAAGATGTTCAACTTACTGTCAGTATAGGACAAAGAAAAACACTCAGTCATCATATTTGAGAAGGTAAAACAGCAAATGTTTAACACTTTGAGCTATAAAACAAACCCAAAGTAATTGTTGAAGCTCTGTATAAGTCAAGCTTTAGTATGTCAGCAGCCTATAACTCTTGTTGTTTGTTCAAGTATATTTCCATAGTTATCTTCCACCACTGGATTGATGTTTTATTAGTTCAACTACAACAAGTCCCTGCTTTCTACTTGGTCCAACAAGCCGACCAAAGAGGATGCCTTGATTACAGGATCTGTCTCGGACGTGTTCTGGTCTTGTTTTGGCCGTCTTGTGCTGTCAGTGGCCCCCCCTAAAGCCTAGAAAGACACACAGAGTTGCAGGCCTTTATCTCTGTGTATTTCCTTGACCACAAAAGCATCCAACTTCCTCGTACAGCTCTCCCTCCCTGACTGTGTTTCTCTGTGCAGTGTCATGCTGTTGATGTGGGGAAAGTTTTTTTCCACTGAATGGTTGTTTACCAACTGTTTGGGTTAACAGCTTAATGGAAAGAGAACCAATGATCGTGACCTACTTTAGCTCTCACTTTACTTTGATCTTCAATGGCAGGATCACTAAGTTAGATAGAGGGGTCAGAGGCCAGTTTAGTTTGTGTTTTTTGTAAATGGATATATGCTGCAGAGGTAACAGATGAGGGGGGGGGGGCAATATTCAGACATCAAAATGACTATCCCGATACCGGCACAGCGACTAAATATTCAGATATTCGGCTATTCGGGTCCAGGACGAATGCGTATGTGTGTCTTTTTGTATTGGTGCAATGCTTGGTCAATTAATGCTAAACAGAATATTAATTAGTCACCAGTTTGATGAGTGAGTAATGTTATTGTATTCCATTAAACTTTTTCATTGATTGGAATTGGAGCTGATGAGCTAGCCTGCTGTTAGACAGTTGACTGGCAACATTTAATCATGATAGCAAGTAAATGTGCTAAATGTTGGCTGGTTCTAGCTTTTCAAGAACGGAGCTGTTTGGTGTCCTCATGAACCGAGTGTCTTCACATTTTGGATTGTTGGTCAGATACAACAAGCACTCAGAACCAGGAAGAGTATATATTTTTTTACTAATTTACTAAAATTGCAAGCAGAGTAATATATATATATATATATAGACATACAGACATTTTGTATTTATGGGTAATTATTAGTCTCAACCTTAATTAAAATGACATGAGCCGTTAGAACTAATGATTTTTTATCTTTCTGCAAAATGAAAAATCATCACTGTGTCCCACAAACATGCTTCATGACTGCTGATTAAAATGAAAATGTCCATCAGTACATTTACTAAAGAACAGAACAGAAGCTTGGCACAAGCTTAGCTCTCTTTTGTATGAAGTCATGTTGATTTTTTTTTTGTCGACTCAACCATTCCTACATCTGTTATTGCTTTGTTAAGTGCTTGTGTCGGCGAAAGCCAATATTTGTTTGGTATCAGCTGTGATTCAGAATAAAATATTCCAAATATAGAAAGCTATGTCAACTGCAACAACCCACTGTTTTTAAAATCTACGAATCCATTTAGTTTTGAAGATGTCATTGTGATGGAAAGTTCTCATCAGACACGAGAACATCCAAACTACAGTCATCGTGGTTTCTGTTGAAAATCAGACGGCTCAATTTACACTGATGTTGAACAGGGAAGAACTGGAAATGTTCTTACTACCAGAGATGTAACAAGCGGTGTTTTTACTCAAGAAATACCTTTTTTAAAAAATGAATTATTAAACAGCATCGTCTTTTACAGCTCTAGTTTGGGACCAGACTGATTAAATACGCCCTGGAAAGACTTTAGTAATCAAAGCAATCTAAAACATTTACATTATGTGTCTGTATCTGTCAATCTGGTTTTAAATCTTTATACGCCTTCATTTCAATGGAAGTTTATTTTGCAATGGGACCATTTATCTTGCCACGTTGCAATAATTACTCTGATAATCAGTTGCGTAGTAACAGGCTTGCATTGAGCAGATCTTGAAACGTCTCTTTAATCCCCCACTCTCGGTTTTTGTCTTTGTGCTGCTGTGCGTTTCTGTTTAAACCACGTCACTGGCTGACTGACTGGCGAGCTTGCTCGGTGAGATTCCTTTGGTTTCCCTCTGAAAACCTGCCCCAGCGCTCAACCAGGCTGCCTGAGGAATGGAGCGGTGGAGGGTGAGGGTGGGGTGAGGAGCCAACACCGCCTGCATGAGCCAACAATGGGGCCAGGCAGCTAACTGGTTTGGGAAGATCCAGTCACCTCAGACACTCATTGTGTGCAGAGCTGACACAGTTAGAGCGTTTCAGGTACAGGTGTAGCGCATTTAGGCGTTTTTGGATTAGCAGATGTTTAGGTTGTTTTTGGTTTTCGTAAATAAATAAATAAAATAAATAAATTTGGCAGTAAGTCTTCTTTACATTGCATTGAACAATAAAAAAATCAAATCACGTTTATTGTCACGTTGCTGTACATACACAGCAGTACAGGCAAGATAAGAGAGCGGCTCCTCAGGATCCAACAACTTAAAGCATTTAAATAAACAAGTGTTTGCATATCTGGATCAGCAGTTCAGCGTTCTGACAGCTTGTGGCATGAAGCTGTTGATCAGTCTGGAGGTTCTTCCTTTAACGTTCCGGTAACGTTTGCCTGATGGCAACAGTTCATGGAGAGGGTGTGAGGAGTCCCTGACGATGTTCAGCGTCCTGCTCCTGCAGCGGCTCTGGAGAAGTTCTTGGACAGAGTTGAGGGAAACTCCGATGCCCCTCTTAGCTCCTCTAACTAACAGACTGCAGCTGGAGGACCATGTGGAGATGCAGGATGTCAGGACGCTCTCCACCACACCTCTGTAGACAGTCCTGAGGACGCTGGCAGGGAGAGAGGCTTGTTTCAGCCTCCTCAGGAAATGCAGTCTCTGCTGGGACCGCTTGATGGTCGCTGAGGTGTTCTTGTTCCAGCTCTGGTCCTGGAAGATCTGTCCTCCGAGGAACTTGATGTTCTCCACTCTCTCCACTGTGCAGCTGCTGATGCTGAGGGAAGCATGCTCAGGACGTGACCTCTGGAAGTCGATGATCATCTCCTTGGTTTTGTCCACGCTGAGCAACAGGTTGTTCTTGCTGCACCAGCCCTCGAGGTGTTTCACTTCATGTCTGTACATTCATTCCTCATTCCCATGAATCCCACTGCTGTGGTGTCATCAGTGAACTTGATGACCTGGATCCCCTCATGTGTGGCTGCACACTCGTGTGTTAGCAGTGTAAACAACAGTGGACTGAGTACACAGCCTGGAGGAGATCCAGTGCTCAGCCTGATGGAGTTGGAGATGTTCTTTTTGACTCGGACAGACTGGGGTCTTTCGGTCAGAAAGTCCAGGACCCACAGACATGTGGCGGTATCCAGGCTGAGTAGGAGGAGTTTCTCTATTAGTCTGTGGGGGATGACGGTATTAAACGCTGAGCTGAAATCAATGTGCAGGATTCTAGCGTAGGTGTCTTTATTGTCCAGGTGGGTGACGACTGAGTGCAAGGTGGTGGATAGTCATCCTCTGTGGAGCGGTTGGGACAGAAGGTGAACTGAAGGGGGTCAAGCGATGCAGGAAGGCTGGCTGTGATGTGTCGGTCAAAACACTTCATCACAATCGGTGTCAGTGCAACGGGGCGGTAGTCATTCAGACAGACGGATATATTTGCCACTGGAACTATGGTGGATGTCTTAAAGCATCTGGGGACAACGGCCTGACTGAGGGAGATGTTGAAGATGTCAGTCAGCACACCTGCCAACTCGGCGGTGCAGACTCTGAGCACTTCTCGTGGGTTGATCCTGGTTAGGGTCCTCCGATGGTGAAAGCTGGACTGACAGATAAAGGAGGAGGACCAGCCCTCTCTCTGATCGGTTCGATGCTTCAAAGTGTGCAAAGAAGTTGTTGAGTCTGTCTGGAAAAAGGTTCCTGGATGCATGTGCACCATCAAACGGTGTGCTTGGCATAGAATCCGTTTTTTGTTAATAAATGTTAAGGGTGCAGCTTATGTGTTTATAGCAGCTTAGCACAAAATGGGGGAAATGGTCATAACTAAACACATGCAAGATGGAGACAAAGTGATCGAAATCAATGGTAATACAACAAGCAAAGAACAAGACAGTGTCTATATCATTACCCAAAGTAAAATCAGCACAGAATTAAACAGACCACGACATGCTGAGGGATGTTTCCGCCCCAGGAACCTTTAAGGCAGCCGGAGCCTTTAGAGGAACTCTCGCCCCGTTTCCTCCTGGTGTTTTAATCTGCTCCGTTGACTGTTTGTGATCGGATCTCATTTCCCTGCTTGATAGACAAATAAAGATGAACATCATTTCCATTTGCTTTGACCAAATGTGTTATTTAAACACAGTGGGAGGCAGAAATGCAGTTCCTGTGCCAAGTCTGCCGACAATTTAAAAAGAAAACAAAAGAGGAAATGTTGGCTGTTGTTGTCTAATCACACACTTTAATATGATGCAGATGGTCAGAAAAAAAAACAATTTCGTAGGTGATCCATTATTGTGGGCTGGGGCACATTTGTGTACACACTGCTACAATGAAGTGGTCTGGTTGGTCCGTCATGGCTGCTTTGACACCTGTACATGGCTGCCTGCTTGTGATAGCATCACCTTAGATACATCTGACTACCAGACATGTAGGTACCTGTTTTTCCCTGCCTGTATTTCCACCATGCAAATGAGGGCCTTAATTAGGTTCCAGTAATATTATTGTGCTCCCTACAAGTGCCTGCAGTAGATTGGAGCAGTGGACTATGGTGTCTTGATCTGATAAATCATAACACGGACCACCTACCTGAGTGTTGTTGCAGACCACACACGTCCCCACATGGCAGTCGTATTCCCTCAGAGCAGTAGTGTCTTTCAGGAGGATGTTAAAACCTGAATAATAGTCAGAAATGATTTGAGGAGCATGACAAAAAGTTCAAGATGTTGTCTCCAAACTCCCCAGATCTCAATCCAAGTGAGCGCCTGATCCACAAAGGCCCCATCTCACATCTTCCAGGACTTAAAGGATCTGCTGCTGATGTTTTTGTGCCTGATGCACAGGACACGTTCAGAGGTCGTGTAGCATTGCATGCCTAAGTGGGTCAAAGCTGTTTTGGAGCACAGGGGAGACCTATACCGTGCTACACAGGTCGTGTTAGTGTTATGGCTGACTGGCGAGTCCACCCTGCAACTGAAAACATGTTGCTTTGCTGGTGGCTGGCAGTTGGGGTGGAACAGTTCAGAGATTTTACAACCACATTTAGAAATTATTTGCGCTATTGATACATCAAGACTTGTTTAATCTTCCCGAAGCTTTGGTCCTGCTGTAGAAATCCACATCACAGTTCGACATCATTCAAATCAAAGTTTGACAAAAAACAAAATACAACAACGATTCGTCTGTGTCGTGTGTGTTTTGCGGCACTACTACGATGTTTAAAAAGAGTGCCCAGTGAGAGACAGCAGGTTCGCCGTTGACCTGTGTGAGCAGGTCATGGGTAGTTCAGGTTCCTGCTATTGTTTCTGAAAAGCTCCATTTCATTAGAAGCCAACTCGTGAAAAGTTTGACATAATTTCCGGACTGTTTGAGTGGTTGAGCAGACTGAAACACCTTTATCTTCCCCTATTCTGTGGAAAATATGAATACCACAGGTAAATACATGGATACATTAGCCGCTTTCTGACATTTCATTTGTTGTTTCCTGTCCGATTAGTTTTTTTGTGGGTGTGATGATCTGTGGGTGTTTGTTAATTACAGTCAAAGCGTACGAATACATTTGAGGACGACTGCAGGTGTTTTCAGATTATCCAAACTCCATGAAGTTCAGTACCATAAGTTTTTGGCAATCAGTCCAATAGTTGCCGAGATATTTCATTTTGGACCGACACACCGCTCCACCGAGCCAGAACCATGCTGCTAGTGAGGCTACAAATGGGTTTAAAGCTGAGATTTAAAATGCTGAAGGCACTAAGTCTTTGTCTTAGTCCTTACTGTTGTTTTACTGACATTCTTGACGATATGTTCTTTCTCTCTGTGCGCTTCCCATCGTATCCCAGGAGCAGCTTCAGCAACTGCTGCTTTCTACCAAGAATGTCTTCTAGACGGCCGAGTAGTTATATTTTTACTGTGAAGGAGCAGAATGAAAGCCGTTTAATTGTCTTGTCTTGTCTTTAACAGAGCAGGAAAGCAGCAGAGAAATCCTGCAGGTGTTCTAATCCTGGTGCTTTCATGTTTGTTTACTGCTGTCCTACAAATAGGTGGAGTCCATTTCTTCACCTTGAGCCTTTTAAAACCATGTTTTAAAAATGACTAATCATCATGTTGGGACACATCCCATCCATTAGTTAAACAGTTTTAGGGATGGACTGAAATTCACAAGCGAGCACGTCATATGAAATCCAAAAATCACGACATGCACTGAAATGAAGAATTGCGATGACTGTTTGTTCATGCAGACTATCACAGAGGAAGATCTTTTTTAGAACTCGTCCATTTAATTCACTGTTTTGACAACTACACAGTTTGCTTTCGGATCCTTTACTCTTATGAGTCATGATTCATATCAGTCTTGTCAACTTGAATTCAGAAAGTCTCCTCATTCCCTCATGAGTCATCTTCGACAGAGTTGCAGTCACTTTAACAGACACACTGAGGGACAAACTCCTATTGCATGCTTCTGGCCAACAAAATGAAAAGACTTAAATATCATGCAATTCACTATAAAGCACTGTAATACAACAGCTGATGTCCTGTCTACTCGTACATTTACATCAGTTAAGGACTGAAGAGACTGAGCTCCCACTTGGGAAGCTGGTTCTAATAACTAATAACTTGGGCCATTGTTACGTGTTGTGCTTAATTTTAGGCTGGAAACAGTTATTTGCTCAACAGAAGAACAATTGTTGACGATACAGATGGTTGGCTGATTGGTCCAATCATTTTTAAAATTTATAAAATGAATTTCTGTTTCAATTTGGTCATTTATGAGGCTTCGGTGCTATTTGTTCTCTTCTTTGATAATTAAATTGATTATTTTTAGATTCTCAGCTGGGCAAAGGATGACATTTGGCACCACTGGTATTTCACAGGCCAACCAGATAACTGGAAAAAAAAGAACAGCTATGGGTTTTAAAGACTGTAAAATGCAGGAGTATGCAACATGAGTACAACCCAGGGCTGCACGGTGGCTCAGTGGTTA